CTTAACAGCATACATACAACAGAAAAAAATGATGAAGGAAAACGAAGAGAGAACACAGGAAAATAGTACTAAAGTGAGAGGTAGTAAGATTTAACAGAGGTTTTGAAGCTAGTAAGAGTTTGAGCGCACCGAATAGAGGTAGGTAGTGAGTTCCATAGACGAACTGCCTGAACAGTAAAGGATCTAGAATAAAAGGAAGAAGAATGAGTGGGAAATTTAAGTCGGAGGTTATTGACACTGCGTAAAGTATGATCATTAGCCTCACTGAGAAACAAGAATCGGTCTTTTAGATAATCAGGAGCAGCAGGATTAAAAAGGATTGTGTAAAGAAGAGACAGGATATGCAGATTACGACGAAAACGGATAGAGAGCCACTTGAGTTGAGTACGAAATTGAGAAATGTGATCATATTTGCGAAGACCAAATATGAAGCGGATACATAAATTTTGGAGACGCTCAAGCTTGTTTAATTGCTCTTCGGTGAGGTCTAAATAACATGAGTCGGCATAATCAAGAATGGGTAGGAGTAAGGTGTGTGCGAGCGCAATTTTGGTGTTAACTGGGAGGAAATTACGTAGTCTATTTAAGGCAAAAGTTGCAGCAAACATTTTTTTACTGACCTCCGAGATTTGTGGAGACCATGACAAAGTGTTATCAAAAATAATGCCAAGATTTTTTACTTTTTTCTGGTAATCTATCATAACCCCATCAAAAACCACAGGCGGAAGACTGGTCGAGGAAATTTTGGAAATAAGTATGGGACTCCCAATAATAATTGCTTGTGTCTTCAAGGGGTTTATAACAAGACCATGAGATTTACTCCAGGCAGATATACATTCCAGATCGGCGTTAACAGTAGATATTGCTAAAGAGATATCAACCAGAGGGGCTAAAGAGTAAATCTGTAAATCATCTGCATAAAGGTGGTAGGAAGATTGAAGTTTCGAAGTGATAGTGCTAATAAATAAGGCAAATAGAAGAGGAGATAAGACGCCACCCTGCGGCACGCCAGCTGACGTATGGCACCAAGAAGATAAAACGTCATCAATGCGAATACGTTGCCGACGTCCAAACAGGTAACTACGAAACCAGTCAATTGCCGTTGGAGATATGTTGAGAGAGGTTAGCAATCCTAACAAAATATCAAAATCAACAGTATTAAAGGCATTGCTAAAGTCCAATAATGTTAAGACCGTTAATTGAGAATTCTCCATGCCAAAACGGATATCGTCAGAAATTTTAATAAGAGCAGTAGTCGTACTATGACCAGGACGGAATCCAGATTGAAGAGGATTTAAGAGATTGTTTCTTGATAGGTAAAAGTTAAGTTTTTGTTGGACAAGGCGTTCTAAGGCTTTGGATAGAAAAGGGAGTATAGAAATTGGACGGTAATCTGAGAACGAGGAAGGAAGTTTCTTTTTTGGTAGAGGGATTATGAAAGCTGCTTTCCAAGCTGAAGGAAAGAAACCGGAGGACAGGGAATTGTTGAAAAGTAAGGTAATGGTGGGTAAAAGGATATCAAGGATAGGTAAAATCATATTACGACTAATGCTATCGGTGCCAATGGCGTTTGACGATATAGACCGTAAACTCTTTTCAACATCACAATCGGTCAACTGATCAAAAATAAAAGGAGTACAATTAGGGGCGATAGTGGATGAAAGATAGTGCAATGTCTTAGATTTTACATTGCTGTCCATGACAGTAGAAGTACAAAAATGATTATTAAGACACTCAACATCAAGATTACCAGGATTATCGTTATGACTCTTACCAACCCCTAATGACTTAAGAAATTTCCAAACTTTTGCTGCATCACCATTTTCTACGGATTTATGAATGTGGCGTCGTTGAGCCTCCCTACACACCCTGTTGCAGAGATTTCTAGTATTGATGTACTCATTACGATGTCTGTCCGGATCCGACTTATATTTAGTTTTAGCAATATTTTTTTTGTGGATTATGGACTTGATCTTGTCTGTAAGCCAAGGTGCAGGTAAATGCTTAACCCTGACCGGGCGGATGGGAGCATGTTTATCGTACAGATCTAAAATTAATTTATTAAATAATTCTACCTGATCATTAATATTTGCTGCTGTACCGATACTCGACCAATCACAATCCGCAGCATCGTGACGTAAACGGTCAATATCAATAGCACCAAAATTGCGCTGCATAAGGATTTTCCGTTTAACTTTGGGAGGACGTATTTTATAAGACAGATAAATGAGGTTATGGAAGGAAAATGCATCTGCAGGATATTGGCCATGTTTCGCAACATGGTCAGGAGAGGAGACTAAAATCAAATCAAGTAAGGAAGGATTACAGTTAGGAAAGAAATGGGTGGCTTGGAGGGGCAGGATCTCTAGATTGCAAGCATGGGCCAGAGACTTAAGACGATTCGCACGCAGGTCATTTTTAAGAAGGCAAGTATTAAAGTCCCCCATAATAATAGTGTGATTATAGGACGGGATTAGGTTCTCTAAGAGGCTTTCAAAAGAGGAAAAATAATCAGTAGTGGAAGATGGACTATAGAAAACTCCTAGTAGAACCTTGGTATGACAGAGAGTTATTTCAAGGAAAAGGTGTTCAAAATTGCAGGAAGAATTTGTCGTTAAAGAAGAGTTAATAATAGCGTAAGGGATATCAGAACGAAGGTATACAGCAACACCACCACCAACCCTTCCGGTGCGATCACAACGAATTAAATTAAAACCGGGTAAGGAATAGGAAGTAGATGGAAGGCAGGGCTTCAACCATGACTCCGAGATAAATATGCCATGGAGGTTATTTACATTAAATGTAGATAGCAAGTCCGAATAATGTGCAGGAATACTTTGGGCATTTATGTGAACGGTGTTAAAGTTTTTAGGATGAGAAGAAAAATTAGTTTTTAAGATTTCTTCTAAAGGAGTAGGCAAACTATGAAAACTTACATTGCTAGAAGAAGAAACGGATAGAAATGTATCATCAGAATCGGATTCTGAAACCATGTATGTGTATAAGACAATACTAATATATATATATAAATATATAAACACAAAAAAAAAATTCTTTATACAAATAGAAAAACTTCAATTCATCTACCTGCCAGTAGTGGACTACGAAATTGACTAAAAAAAGGGAAAAAAAAAATATTTGGATAAAATCCACAATAAAAAAAAAAACAGTATTAATATAAAAAAAGTAAAACAGTAAATTGTTTTTGTTTTGGCATTGGCGGCAACATTAAATTAGCAAATATAATAATACGTGTAGATACAGAAGAATACAGCGTAAGGACAGCCAAACTTATTTAGATAGCTGAATAGATATAAACTTGCTACATTCGAGCCCCCAACAGTAGTATGATTATATTGTTACCCATCTAATTAAAAAAAAAATAAATAAATAAAAATACATGTATTCTATCTATGTTGAGGAACTGTCAATCTAATCTATCATATCTGTTATTCTGAATGAGTTGTCAAAGAAAACAAACCAAAACATAATTTTGAAAGTTATAAATGTCATAATATAATGAGAGTTTTTATAAAATTTTTTAACATACCCCGTAAAGATTACAATAATTGATGAACAGTTTACCTTATATAAGTTTGTAAAAAAAAAAAAAAAAGAAATTATAATATACCCACAACAAGAATATTGCCACCAAAACCATCACAATAATCTGCACAACAGCTCACTTCTTCATGACACGCTTGGAACGCGAGGAACCCGTACCAGCCAAATCCATGGTCTTCGAGACGGCCAAGGAGTCCGCTGACACGGATACAACGTCTTCAACAGCAATTGGCGACAGGTTAATAAGTTGGTCAACTTCAGCAATGGAACTAACACGATGCCTCTTACCATCCGAACCAATGATAACCACGATGCCATTTCGTGTCCAGCATTTCGTGATACCAAAGTGTTTCCGTGCCTTCATAAAAGCGTCGTGTCTTGCTTTTGTAAGAAACTCGGACAATGTAATTCCGCTATTTTTAAGTTCGGTTTTTGCAGACCAAATCTTGTCTCTCACATCAGCACAACGAAATTTGACTAAAATAGGCCGGAGTTTCCCTTGTGACAAACGACTAATACGATGGATCCTGCTTATATCTTCTGGCGAAATTGGCATCTTAAGTTTCTTAGTGAGAAGGCTGGAGACTAGCATGGATAAGCCACATTCACTATTCTCACGAACCCCATGCAGCAATAGGATTTTGCGACGACTATGCATCTCCAAACGATCCTGTTGTTGTGCGATGATATGTACCTGCTGTTGAAGATTGTTCAATGACTCTGCCATAAGAGACTTAAATTGTGCAAAATCCGTAGATAATGAACCTATAGTGACGGGAGCAGCACTGGCCTTATCTAATTTGTCTTGAAATGCTGCCATCCTAGTGTTAAAGTTCACCATCATTTGTTCCAAGGACTGTTGTACAGACTCCATTTAAAATAAAAATATTGGTATCTTAGGATTAAAAATAGACGGAGATATCACCACTGCAGGTAGACAACTACTAAATTTATACTTTAAACATAAAATATAACAATAATAAGTATTATTTTGAATTTAAATAAAATAATAGTCCAGAGCAACAATTTTTGATAGTTAGTGCTACACAGCTACCCACAAAAAAAAAAAAAAAAAAAAAAAAAAAAAAAAAAAAAAAAAAAAAAAAAAAAAAAAATATGTTTTTCCCCGGACACTATTTTGCTGATCCTTCTCGAATACGGATTATTGTGGATAAATTTGTAACTAAGATTTATTTCAACTGATCGCCTACCTATAAAAAAATAAATTTCCCCTACTGGACGGCCCTGGACGCTCTTCAAACTACGACAAATCCGGGGAATTCCGGACGGATGGCAGCCCTAGCTTGGACTAATGTGACAAAGGCCAAGAATGTTGTTAAAACATAATTTCATATTGTCCATTGTGATCTTTATGTGACAGTTACCACTTTTCATCATCAGATCATCTTGAATATTTGTTTCTTTGTTTCTTCCAGTGCTTCTTAACGGCCAGCGTTTGTATCAACATAATGGGTCACGGTTGCGTCATTGGTTTTTCTGCTATTTTAATACCTAGTCTAAGGAAACCAGACTCGTACATTCATGCCACACCATCACAGGAGTCTTGGATAGGTGAGTTTGTAATTATAACCATATTATGGTGACTGTAAGAGATCCCTTTATGGGATAAGTCCGCCATTGTATATTAAATCATTTATCAGTGTTCAATCACTTATATAATCAATTATATCAGAGGGAGACTTTGTACAAAAGTCGTTTGCTTGGGTATCTCTGTGCCATTCATGTTTCAACCGTGAAGCAGTTGTGTTTGCATGACTGTGTTTCGGTTTGAAGGGTGGGATATGGCGTGAATTTACAAGGTACATAGGAATAACACCTGAGTCCTCAGGAATGGCAACGCATGGGGGTATCATAGGCGAAACAGTATACTCTGTTATGTCCATGGTACTGCTCATGACTATAGGCGACGGTTACCACTTTTCATCAGGTGGGCCGTCTGTTTGCCATTCTAAGTTGTATAAAAAGAAATCTGAATTATATATAATAAAGATTTTACAATACAATACAATACAATGTTTAATCAACTTTTTGTAATAATTTATTTTATATGTAACTTGGATAACTTTAAACGTTACTTGGACAATGTAGATAACTGATAATGAATGATGATGATGAGGGAGGCTTTGTGCAAAAGTCGTTTGCTTGAATACAAACAGAAGCAGTTGTGTTTGCATGGCTGTGTTTCGGTTTGATATGGCAAAGGTCTCCTGCCCTGCAAACCAAAATACTGCCGAAGTACAATGTTATATAAGCTCAGGTTCTTGATGGCAGAAACACGAATGGGGCAAAGATGGGATACTTTAGTCGATGTTAGACTGTTTTCATTCTAAATCTTTCTTTTGAAATCACCCATTTGTTAATCTTAGATGTAAAGAGTCCTATCTGCCTATAAGATATAAACAAAAACTTTTTTTATTTTAGCCTCCGTGATTGGCTTCGCCCTCATATTTGGCAACATCATTATAACTGGAATAACGGGAATAATTGGAAGAAAGAAATCACATTTGCTGAGCACATTTCCTCTACTTGCGGGCTGGTTTCTCATAGTTCTTGTCAGCAGCGTGAATGGCCTGATCCTTGCTAGGCTTCTTCAGGGTATTTCTATGGGCATCCTGGGGCCACTAGGCTCTATTATTATAGCAGAAATGACAGACCCCAAAAACCGTGGCGGTTTCTTAACATGTGTGTCCCTGTCTTTATCAGTAGGGGTCCTTTTCTGCCATGTCTTAGGCACCTTTTATACTTGGCAGCAGTGCGCTGTGATGTGTTCGTTTATTACATTCATTGGCTTGGTTATGATTATTTATACTCCTGAATCACCACCTTGGCTAATATCAAAAGGCCGTTACACGGAAGCCACCGAGGTATTCTACTGGATGCGCGGTCGAGGAGACCAGCAGGAGTACGAGCTAGAAAATATGATAATCGCTCAAAAAATGGCAAGGAAAGCCAGTTATGCTGAGGAGAACTTGCCTCTTAAGACGAAAGTTAAATATTACTTCGTTTATCTGAGAAGGTGTTTTAGAAAGCCTGAGTTTTACAAGCCCATATTTATAATGATGGTCATGTACTCGATGTTCCAATTGGCCGGTCTAAATGTGATTAGTTCTTACGCCATGGACATTATAAAGGAAGTGGTGGGTCCCGATGCCAACGTTAAGCTCCTAATGATAGCGCTAGATATAGAAAGATTGGCTTGCAATGTGATAGCAGTGTTTGTTATGAGGACTTTCAACAGACGAACCGTATTGTTTACAAGCGGCAGTATATGTGTCTTATCATACATCAGCAAAGGGACTTACGTTTATGCGAAACAACATAACCTTCTGCCATTCGAGAATCAATGGCTTCCAATCACGTTGATAGCTGTCTACATGTTCTCTATAACTATTGGTCTTTCCTCAGTGCCATTTGCGATATCGGGGGAAATATTCCCCTTGGAGTATCGTGGTGTGGCTGGAGGATTAAGTGTTATATCCTTATCGCTAAATTTCTTCGTGGCGGTCAAATGTTTTCCACTTCTTACAAATGCTCTAGGTCTACCATTGACGTATTACTTTTACGGTGCTATGGTGTTTATTTGTTTGCTATATCTTTACTTCACATTACCGGAAACGAAGGATAGGACGTTACAAGAGATAGAAGATAGTTTACGGGGCATTGGGCCTAGCGACCATAAATACACAGAGCCACTAAACAAAGATGGGAGAAATGGAATGCGCAGATGTAGTTCCCATATAATTTATTAATTAAATCGAATCTAATGTTGGAATAAAATAATATTTAAGTAGTCTTTGAAATGTAAATGATATTATCAATGTTTGTGTAAAGTCTAGACAAAGACCCACGGATAGAGGTTAGAACGTTTAAAAATAACAAATGTCTGTCGTTTTACAAGAGTCAAGACATAAAAGGTAACAAAATTTGTTATCTGCTTAGTGTTAATTATTTTAAGGTTTATAGACAAAATAGAGATATTTAAAAATAAATCAGTATACTAAGAGATCCTTAAAGAGAATATAAAAATGCACTGTCAAACAAGTGTTATTTGTAACTAATAGTTCAACTAGCTACTTGCTTGCAAGGAACGTAGTCAAATTAAGAAAAAAATAAAGCTTTCATACAAATTCGACATTCACGTGCTCGGTTAAGTATAAAAGATTTTTACGAATAAATATACCCGTAAATTGGATATTAATATTTGTGAAAAAGGTTCAAAAATACTTTTTTATAATTAGACTACACGCCATTTAGCCTGGATTTTGTCTTACTGCTAATGTTATATTAAATTGAGATAAAAAAATAAAATATTTAAAATCTTCTGTATGTTTTATTTAGAATATGAAAATACAATTATTTGTAATACAAAACTTTATATTAAGTACTGATTATAACTTTAATCTCATATCGTTTATCGCTCCTTTAGCCTGGGCCCCCGAAGTACCCATAAGATCGTCCCTAAATTCTTCATCGTTCCGTTCATTCTCCCTCGTCTCTTCCTGTCTCAATTTTTTCCAATTCCAACATCCTATCATTTTCTGACGAATCTTTTATATTTGCATTTGTATTTTTGAAATGGCATTCGATTTCATACAATGTCTTCCCTTTAGTTTCCGGCAGTAAAAAATATAGAAAAATACCACATAGTGATATACAGAATGCGTACACGCAGAAGGTACCGCTCACGCCGATGTCTCTAAACGAAGCCGGAGCAGTTTTGACCACAACGAAGAACATAATCGACAGAAACATCCCCGAGATACCGCTACCTAAACTTCTGTAAGCCAGAGGAAATATTTCGCCAGCAATCGCCCAAGGTATCGGCAAAATACCCAATGTTTTCCCGAAAATATAAAACATGGTCGGTATAATAGGAACCCATTTGTATTCGTCTGGTATGTAACCAAAGTCTCTTAAATACAACAGTATTGAAGTCAGGAATAAAGACGCTACACTTATGGTAACGCCTAGGAATAAGACAGTGCGTCTGTTTAGTTTATTTACCACGATGCAAGCTAGGATAGCCGTTGCGAATCTAAGGACGTCGACCATGAGCATACTAGTGTAAGATTCTATCGCCCCACCGGTTACTTCTTTCATCATTGGAACAGTATATGATGGGACAACTGTCATACCAGATATCTGGAAGAGAATGAACATAAACATCATAATTACAGTTGGCTTATAAAATTCTTGCCTCTTTGCTATATCTATGTAGTGTCTCCATCTAGGCCCAGTAGTTACACTAATCTCTCTCTTTTGACTGTTGAGAAGAATGTTCAATTCTTTTTCCGAAACGTGGTCGTACCCTCGAAACCATCTGAAGGATTTCCTGCATTCAGTGTATAGTCCTTTTGACGCAAGATACGGGGGTGTTTCTGGACTAAGGGATATCAGAATTAAGGAGACGGCGTAGAAGCTTCCACAGGCTACTCCAGCGGTTCGCCAGTATAGTAGAGTACCGAAGATATGCGCCACAAGCATGCCCGTTGCGAAGGAAAACGCTATAGTGGCAAGAAAAGCGCCTCTGTGTTTGGGAGCCGAGTATTCGGCGATGGAGACTGGGGCGGACGCAGCCTGTACACCCATTCCGAAGCCCTGTAAAATTTTAAAAAGGGTTAATTTAATCTGCAACGCATTTCTTTTTTATATCACAAAGGTGGCCAACAAGCATATATCCCGTCTGATGGTAAACGGTTACTGTAACGAAGAAACCTTAATATACCCTTTTTAAAAATCGCGATACTATAGTCTCTAGGGAAAACCTCAGCAGGGAGCTCATTGCACAGCTTGAGCGCTCACGGCAGATAATTCCTTTGAAACCGCACTGTACGTGACTATTTAGGTTTAAGCGTGTGAGGATGAATTTTATAATATAAATATTTAGAATAATAATAATTAGGAATAACTACATGGGACAGATGAAGGAAACACTAGGCGTCACGTCGTATTTTTTTTTATACAACTTAGAATGGCAAACAAGCTGACGGCCCACCTGATGGAAAGTGGTAACCGTCGCCTATAGACATGAGCAGTACCATGGACATAACAGAGTATACTGTTTCGCCCATGATACCCCCCATGCGTTGTCATTCCTGAGGACTCAGATGTTATTCCTCTGTACCCAGTAAATTCACGCTATATCCCACCCTTCAAACCGAAACACAGCCATGCAAACACAAAAGTAAGGTCAAAGATGTAGCCTGGAATAGAGTTGTCTGGAAGAAAATACAAAAATTAGTTGCACCGACAAGAACAACTCTTAAATGAAAAGAGAGTGAAAGGGAAAGAATATTAATATCAGATGTGATCAAAATTTTATACGCAATGTAAAGAAAAGTGGCTGTTTCACCTTTTTCAAGCTAAATTTGTAGTGTCGTGTCATAGCTGCTGAAGAATAACAATACATAGATGGTAAAATTGGAGAATTAAGATAAAGTGGTGTTTATATACACATGTGTAGCTGTCAATTGGTTAAATTACTCGTCGAAGATGCGAGCGAATAGGGTACGTTGATCATTAACAAGTCATATGATGCGAATGTACTTGATTGAACGTAACGTCACAATAATCTAAAGATGTAGTTTAAAGTGGGTCTCATGGGTGTAACAGTTGAAGCAGCCATATTGTTTGAGTGAATTTAATGAGCAGACTTTAAAAACTTTTAAAAACTCTTTGCTTGCTCTACATTTTAGTTTTTAAATGGTGGCAAGTCATATTTAGAATTTACTACGGGTTTACCCGACTTTCCCATTTGGAAAGTTGAGTTTCGAACGTAAAAAGTGGTAAGTCAACGAGTATTATCGTAAAATCGTAATATGTTTTTGACGTTTTGCATTGTTTGATGCTGGTATTTTCTTTAAATTACTGATTTATTATAGTAGTATTTTTGTTTCTTATTTATTTTCTCATACCTCTCATTTTCTCATACCAGAGGGAGACTTTGTACAAAAGTCGATTGCTTGGGTACCTCTGTTCTATTCGTGTTTCAACCATGAAGCAGTTGTGTTTGCATGGCTGTGTTTCGGTTTGAAGGGTGGGATATGGCGTGAATTTACTGGGTGCAGAGGAATAACACCTGAGTCCTCAGGAATGGCAACGCATGGGGGGTATCATGGGCGAAACAGTATACTCTGTTATGTCCATGGTACTGCTTATGTCTATAGGCGACGATTACCACTTTCCATCAGGTGGACCACCAGCCCGTTTGCCATTCTAAGTTGTATAAAAAAAAAATCTCATTGTATCGTTGTAATTATATATTTTACGATCGACTGGTACATAACGCCATATGGTGTTAAATCTGCCATTCACAGTATCTAGGTGTACTTAAGTTTCATCATCATCATCATTCCAGCCATTGTCCGTCCACTGCTGGACATAAGCCTCCCCCATAGACTGCCATAAAGAACGGTCCTGAGCCACCTGCATCCACTGACTCCCTGCAATGCAGCTGAGGTCGTCACTATATCGTATTAAAGTTTAATAAATATATAAGTGTAGTGTACTTACATAATTTCCTTTTTTGATAATAAAACCCTATTGTTTCCAAAATTGTGTATAAGCCTATGGGTGGAATTTATTAATCGACATTGTATCATTGTAATATGTTTAACAATATGTTATATTAAGTCGTTAATCTTTCTAGAAGTAAATTAATAAACAGCATCATGGACAACACAGTATATACTGTGTCGCCCGTAATACACCTCATGCGTTGCCATTTCTGAGGACTGCGGTCTTCGTACCTTGTAATTTCACTGCCGCTTTTCCCTTAACACTAAAACACAGCTGTTCCAGGGCAGAAAGACTAGTAATTAGCATAAAAAAGATATATCCTACCACTTTTTATCCCATCTAATGTCTCAATAACTTAAACGAAGTCACGGTATCAACTAGTCTCTCTTAAATAATATTTTCAATCGCCTGTCGACTATCCATTCTAAATGATTGAAAGACTAGTAAAATTTATCATTACCTGTAAACTTCTGCCAATCAGCAACGCAGTGGGCCCCTTAGCGGTCACCATCAGAGCCCAGCCTCCCATAGAGGGCAGGGTGCTCAGCTGGTTGGTGACACGTCTGCCAAGATGCTGCAAACTGAACGGAGCAACTACGATGCCAGTAATCAACGCCAGGCCCAGGATTGATGCTGAAAGTTTTTTTTTATAGGATTAATATGGAATGGTAATCCCATCTGAGCCATGGATATATGCTGGTGGAGTACTAGTTAGGGATGTGAAGTTTTTTTAATAGATGATGATGGAACGGTAACCCCGCCAGCGCTATCGGTATACACTGGCGGGGCACCAGTGAGGGATGATAGGTGAGGATGAATAAAACATTGATATAAAAAAAAATACATGAAGTTACATGAATTTAATATTTATTTAGTTTTAAAGCTTATCGTAACATTATTTCAAGGTTGGCCCACGATGTGGGTCCATGTTTTAAGTAGCTTAGATTTCCTCATATTTCGGCAGACATATCGATGACCAACATACAAGTAAGGAACAGGTAATCACTGCCGTCTCGAGGATTAATTAAATTTTTATAAAGGGTTGACTATTGTCGGATAGTTACTTGGCAAGATGTTTAATATAATAATCGAGTTAATTTGAGTTTATCCATTTCTAATGGTATATCTTACCACTGAGAGACTTTATATAAAAGTCGTTTGCTTGGGTACCTCTGTCCCGTTCGTGTTTCTACTGTGAAGCAGTGGTGTTTGCATGGCTGTGTTTCGGTTTGAATGGTGGGATATGGCGTGAATTTACAGGGTACAGAGGAATAACATTTGAGTCCTCAGGAATGGCAACGCATGGGGGGTATCATGGGCGAAACAGTACACTCTGTTATGTCCATAGTATTTCTTATGTCTATAGTCGACGGTTACCACTTTCCATCAGGTGGGCCGTCAGTTTGTTTGCTATTCTAAGTTATATAAAAAAAAAAATGATACTAACAACATCAGGGATCAACTTTGATACCTATAATACTGCTTGTGTGTTCCCATTCTTAAGAACTAAGGCGCCTAAATACAACTTATAATGTTAAAAAGTTTTTAGACCATGTTTCTCAATTAATGTGTGTGACATTAACTGAGTTGAGTTTATCTATTACAAATGGTACATCTATGGATATTAACAACATCAGGGACACCATAGAATATATTTTGATATCTATATTACCTCCTATGTGTTCTCATTCCTAAGAACTAAGGCGACTAAATACTTATAAACTCATAATGATAAAAAGTTAAGATCATGTTTCTCGATTAATGTGTATGACATTAATTGAGAAATATGATTCATACGAGAGAAACCAGCTTCAAATGTTAATTTAAAAAAAAGTTTAGGAAATTCACCTATCCACGACTCATGTTCCGAAGTGATCTTCAGTGTGGATTCAGGCTGTCGTAACTGCTCCAGCAGTACTCCAGGGTACGCGATGTTAGCACCTGTTCCAATCATGTACAATACCACTCCACTTACTGCTAGCAGCTGGAAACAACACAATTTCTGTTGAAAATTCAAATAAGATCATTTAAAAATGATAGTTGTTCACGCTTCACGCTTTGGAGGCCATGTTATGCTTTTATTTAGCAAGTTCCGATAAAGCCATTTCTCCGTCACTTCATCTCGCTGTACTAGTTTGGCTCCGTATACAAAGAAACTCGTAACACCAGAGGGCGACACTAGTAATAGTAGTAGAAGAAATACTAATTATTTATTCAAGGTTTTTGTACTTTATATACGTAAAAATTATTAATTCACTCTTGCGCCACCTACCCACTTCTATCTGTTCTCCTTTAATCAAAGGTTGTCTGTAAGAGATTGCCCTAGCGATAAGACCGCCTTTTGTACCTTTATGTGTATATTTTAATTTGTACTTTATGCTACTGTATTTCACTTGAATTTAATGTCATTGTTTATTTTTATGTTTCTGGTGTAATAAATATTTAAATAAATAAATAAATATTTGTCGTGCTGAGATGAGGTTTAAGAACACAAATACTGAACGCAACTTTTTTTTTATTTTTTTATGTATATGGAATATTTGGAATACGTACATAATGACAGTGACTCTACCTGTTTAATATTATATATAACAACAGCTTCGGAGATTAGCCCGTACAAACGGACAAAGAGAAAAATAAAAAATTAAAAAAAATCTGGATGTGTTTTATTTCATTTCTAACATCCATCTGACTGTGGGAAAGGGATTGTTAGTAATGAAGATTGAGAATCCTATTACTAGCAATATGGTATGGCAATATGGAATTGTTAGTAATGGGGAGTAGTAGCCCTATTGCTAGCAATACACCCTGTCAGGTCGACCTCCACGTGGTTCCTCCTGAAAACCATCGTGCTGAATTTGTCTGTGAAGTGAATCTATCACGATGGACTAACTGACCTGCCTTTTCATTCTCACCTATCATCCCTCACTGGTACCTCGCCAGCGTATACCGATAGCGCAGGTGGGGTTACCATTCCATTATCACCCATTAAAAAAAATACCATAGACATTTTAACATTTAATTTCTTACCTTATACAGCTTGAACCACATATTCTTTGGTTTTGTGGAATTAAAATCAATAGATATAATATTAAATTTGCTTTTCGACTTTAATTTGGTCATTATCCATCAAAAAAATTGCACATATAATGGGAAAGTCCTCGTTACCATATTGTCAAACTTGTAATACCATCGATGATGTGCATCATATTCTATTAGAGTGTCGTATTAACACGAAGGAAAGAGAACGATTCATGCGCCACTTTAACTTAAATAAATTTAATGTTGGTCTTATTCAATCTATGTTAGCTGAACTTAAACCAGAAATGTTTGAACATCTCTTTAAATTATTGATGCCCATTAATTCTTCTCTTTCCGCGTCTAGGGGAAAGTAGATAAAGCTTTATTCGAGAAATCAGTTCAGGATATGATAGGGCTGATATACCTGAAGAAGGTAAAAGCCCTTAAAAATATTAAAAAAAAATACGTCTTACCTGTCTCATAAACGGTGGCACCCGTTGCTTTTTGTATAACACGGCGTCGGTCATTGTGATTAGTTTATTTTTTAAATTGCTATCTACTTATCCATATTTAATTGTACACCCTTTGTACAATATATTACTAAGAAAATTCTATCTTAAAGCATTCATCTGAAACAAAAGAAAGTAACTTTGAACTATATGAAACCATATAAAAACTGCTTGACCGATTTTTATGAAATTTTCTGTGTAGAAAACGAAAGAGGAGGCGTGTTTGAATCGATGCATTTGGCGTTCCATTGTTTTTGTCTACCTTAATGGAAGACAGGTGTAATAAATATGTGTGTATGTATTTCTAACTTATACAAGAGAATTTATTTTTAATAGATGATTATGGAATGGTAACCACGCCTGTGCTATCGGTATACACCGGCGGGGCACCAGTGAGGGATGATAGGTGACAATGAAAGCAGGTCAGTTAGCCCATCGTGATGAATCTAACAATAAATCAATCACGATGGTTTCCAGGGGGAACCACGAGAAGGTCGACCTGACAGGGTATATTGCTAGCAATGGGGCTACTAATCCCCATTACTAACAATCCCTTCTTCCCTCTATACTAGAGGTTTCTTCAGGGTCGGCAATACGCGCGTAATACCTCTGGTATTGCAGGCGTTCATAGGCTACGGTAATCGCTTACCATCAGGTGTGCCGTATGCTTGTTTGCCACCTCAGTGGTATAAAAAAAAACAAATGTTTGTATCGTACTGAGATTGAACTCGCGACCATCAGGTGAGCCAATATGGTCAATATACCCACTAAACGATACTTAATAACGACTATTACAACCAGACCATGACTCTCCCATTATGTATATACAATGCCTATGTAGATATATACTTACATAGCGAGGTCGTAGTTCCAGTGTCATATCGAACATACTCGTTTATAAAAGGATATCAAACGACTAGGAAAGGAATTTATTTATTTATTTATTATTTTATTTAACAAAAACACAAAGTTTGTAACTTTGGCCCATTGTATCTTGTGTTTGTAACATAAGATACAATGGGCCCCACACTAGGCGAACCTGTATCGTGGACACCCGACAAGGATTGACAAATCACAAATGTGTTATAATAAATAGTACATAGTGGGCGGGTATTAATTGCCATTCTAAGTTGTATAAAAAAGAAAAATCGAAGTCGGTTGACTACGTTTAGAGTCTATATGTACATGTGGTCAATTTCCAAAACATTTTTTTCTAATACACGCAAGTTTGAGGTTAAAGACCTCTCTCCTTCATACCAAAGAGGACTCTCACGCCAATAAAAGAAATGCAAAAACAGTCCATATACTTAAAATGATTTTCAACAGCCGCTTTGGTGGCTTCATTTAGGGCAATTCGTGTCTCATTAGCATTCCATTCAGCATTCGGCCGCCGTCATCCCGCCCCGAGCAACGACCAAGTCGTCCACCGACCCCCAATTACCTATTTTGCGATCAATGTGCAATAAAACAAGAATGGTTACATGATTGTTACTATTAATGAGCGGTAGTTTTTTTTTAATGGATGATAATGGAATGGTAACCCCGCCTGCACTAACGGTATACACTGGCGGGGCACCAGTGAAGGATGATAGGTGAGGATGAAGCAGGTCAGTTAGCCGTAGGTCGAGACGAATTCAACAAGAATTGTTTACAATGGTTTCCAGGGGGAACCATGTGGTGATTGACCTAATAGGGCATATTGCTAGCAATGGGGCTGTCAAACTCCATTACTAACAATCCTTCTCCCCTCTGTGCTATGTATTTTTTTTACAACACAGGGGGCGAACGAGTATGAGGGCATTTACCAGATGGTAAGTGACTATCGCCGCCCATGATCACCCACAACACCAGCGGCATTGCAGGTGTGCTGCCGGCTTTTTAAAAAGGAATATACTATTTTCTTGAAGGTTATGTTGTCGTATCGGTTCGGAAATACTGCTGCTGGAAGTTGATTCCAAAGAATGGTTGTGCGTGGAAGAAAGTGCCTTGAAAACGCACGGTGGAAGACCGCCACTCGTCCAGATGATTGGAATGAAACTTAGTATATACAGATAGTGCAAGCATGGTTACCATCTCATTGTCATCAATTAAAAAATTGCTCGAATGGAAGTAAAGCCCGTCAAGGGTAAATAAATTAAATAGCAACTTCTTGTCCGCTTACAAATTAATTAGTCTAGGAATATCCGGAACAGACCACGACCGCTTCGAATGGCATTGTAATATGAGTACAGCGCTCGTCCGGGGTTTTTATACCTTTTTTTTTTTTTTATGCAACTTAGAATGGCAAACAAGCTGACGGCCCACCTGATGGAAAGTGGTAACCGTCGCCTATAGACATGAGCAGTACCATAGACTGTTTCGCCCATGATACCCCCCATGCGTTGCCATTCTTGAGGACTCAGGTGTTATTCCTCTGTACCCAGTAAATTCACGCCATATCCCACCCAACACAACTATATAATTACACACAGAAAAACAATATTTAACAACAATATAATTTAACACAGAGTCTTTATTTAAAATTAGTAATTATATAACATTTGATGATAGAATCGTGATTGATTCTTAAAATTTACACCGTACGTTCGCGACTTAAAACATACTGGCCTCTCACTGCCCTGTGGTAATCCCTTTTATCAATTTCCTTTGTAAATTATGTCTTCATTCTTTCTGGGAATTTGTGTGTGGGAACAGCTATTGTGCAACATGTATTGGTATGTTGTAGTACGGTTTGGAAGGGGTTTGCACCCGTAACATATGCGAAAGTTTGTGTATTTGTTATTCAAATACGTTAAAACTCGGCCACTTTCTCCTCGCTATAAAACCCTAATAATACTCTTTCCTCTTTTTTATTGTTTTAGTCGCAGATTTCATCGTCATATCAGCCTTTAAGTGTCCACTGTTGAACAGAAGCCTCCCCCTTGGGGGGTTTCGCCAGTAGTTGCCACGCACAACTTTAGAGATAGGCAACAGCTTTAGAGATGTTTCAAGAGGAACGCTGCTGCCCATTTGTCGACCTACCTTAATCGTCTCTTACGACACCTACGGGAAAGGGAGGGGTGGCCTATTCTACGTCGGGACCACACGCCAACGTAGCAATTGCAGATTTAGGTACGACTTATTCTGTGATTACCGTTTTAGTTCGAAAGCGGAGCATTTTTTAAATAATTAATCAAAAATTTTAAAAAAATTTCAATTGTTTTTGAAAATTTACATATGCGACGTTGGCACACTTCAAGCTTCAAAAGTTAAGCTCGCCTGTTGGTACGTCTTCATTCAAAACAAATTATAACTATGTAGTCTTTGTGTACAATAAAGTATAAATAAATAAATAAATAAATGGCCAGTGTTTATTACTTGTGTGAAAGTGTAGTGGTGTCGATTAGGATCATCTTCAGGTCTTAAATTATATAAATAGAGTGTCACCATACAAATGCTTCGAGAACAGCGGATCAACTTTTTCATACAATTTTGCGTGATAAATAGTTACGAGTGATTCCTTTATAACTTCTATATTTAATTTGTTTTATAAATTCTGCATCTTGATGCGTAAAAACGCATTTTATTTGTTAAATAATTAATTATAGGTAAATAAAACTGACATAAAAACGAGTCAGCTAATTTGACAATCAGCTGCCAAAAAGTTGACCCATTTTTGTAGCTCTATGCTCTATCTATATAATCTAAGGTCCATGGATATATCTCCAAAAGGTTGACTAGCAAACAATGCTACCAGCATTAAATCCGTCTTTTGTACCATATTTTCTTTAGGTCAGTAAAGTAATTTAATAAAAAAAATATATATATATATATATTGTTATCATAGCATTTTTTTAATTCCAAAGAGGTTTTTTTTTTATGGGTGAAAATGGTACGGTAACCCCACCTGCGCTAACGGGATACGCTGGCGCAGCACCAGTGAAGGGTGATAGATGAGAATGAAAACAGGCCAGTTAGCCCATCATGATGAATTCATCAGAAATTAACCATGATAGTTTCCAGGGAGAACCGCGAGGAGGTCGACCTGGTTGGATATATTGCTAGCAATGGGATTCTCAGTCTCCATTACTAACAATCTCTTTTCCCCTTCCAAAGAGAGTTGATGTCAGGCAGGCGGCCGGTCGTAAAATTAAAAGCCAAATCCTTTTGTAATATGGATAAAAACATATTACGCCGTCCACAAATAATAATTGGGACAAGGGTATGATCATCATCATCATCATCATCATCATCATCATCACCTTCCTACTCTGTATTTACCTTTCTTCCTTTATGATAATATCATTTATTTTTCAAAAAAGACAAGCAGATCTTTTAGAAAACGTGAACTCTAAAATTCATTAATTTTGTAAGATTTTGTAAGAAAATTTGTAAACACGCTTAATATTCAATCATGTTTAAACAACTGTACGGGTTCGAATGAAATTTACTGCACAAATAATAGACTATTATGTAAATTTTTAAGCCTTCCCCACAAGGAGAGTTTTGTTAGTAGTTGCCACGCTTGGCAAGCGGGTTTGCAATCGCAGTTAGGCTTTTACAAGTGTTTTAAGAGTGACGCTGTTACCTATCCCTCCACCGTAAGTTTCCTTAGTCGCTTCTTTCTTTTTATACAACTTAGAATGGCAAACAAGCTGACGGCCCACCTGATGGAAAGTGGTAACCGTCGTCCATAGACATGAGCAGTACCATGGACATAACAGAGTATAATGTTTTGCCCATGATACCACCCATGCGTTGTCATTCCTGAGGACTCAGGTGTTATTCCTCTGTACCCTGTAAATTCACGCCATATCCTACCCTTCAAACCGAAACACAGCCATGCAAACACAACTGTTTTACGGTTGAAACACGATTAGGACAGAGGTACCCAAGCGAACGACTTTTGTACAAAGTCTCCCTCTGGTGATAACTACAACTCCAAAACGATCAACTACAAAAAGAATCATGTGAATCGATTCCGAATTGGCCAATATATCACAAATAATGTACACAAAAATGTACTTGAATCGAAAAGAACTTTTAAATTAATTCTTTTGTTTTCCTTTAACAGACTTAAATTTTGAAATTATTAGACATATGATCAACATGGGAGTAAACTTTTTTAATAAAAAAAAAAAACCTATCAAAATTGGTTCATAGTTAATAAAGAATACACGTGAAAGAGAGCGTTGAATTAAGAATAATTGTTCCTTTCCTATATTGTATAATGCAAATAAAGTATACTCAATAATTTTTTTTCGAAGTCTGTTTAAAAACAAAAATAAACTTAATAAGATATCCAACAAAATAACTTACCAAATGTCTAAATCTCGTCACGATACGAACCAATACTAAACAGCTGACGAGCGAAACACGAATCCCGTATTTCGATGATAATTATTTAATTTATTATAATTAAACTAAACATATATTAATTATGTATGTATCACAGAACACATTTCAGTTATCACACATTATTTTACATATATATTTACATATAATACACACATTATATTAAAATTAAGCAATAATTTACTTAGTTATTTTGTATGCGTTCGCGCGGTGGTTCGAGACGCACTGACGTGTAGCAACATAGCAAAAACTTGAATGCCCGGTGTCGAATGTGGGACAATTGTGAATTGAATTCGCGGAATGTGTTCCGTACGATTTCTAACCGTGGATTCGTCTTTAATAATGTTATGGGGTAGGTATAGAGGAGTTTATATATATATATATATATATATATATATATATATATATATATATATATATATATATAGGTATAGTTTGTTTAGATAGTAATGAAAATGTAAATTAAACCAATTATTGACTCGACCTTATAGTCAGTTTTATGACAGCTTTCTGACGTTCAGTAGAGTTGTAGTTTTTTTTTTTATTTGTAGAAAATGGAATAGTAACCCCACCTGCTCTAACGGGATACGCTGGCGGGGCACCAGTGAAGGGTGATCGATGAGAATGAAAACAGGCCAGTTAGCCCATCATGATGAATTCATCAGGAATTAATCATGATAGTTTCCAGGGGGAACCGCGAGGAGGTCAACCTGGTTGGGTATATTGCTAGCAATGGGATTCTCAATCTCCATTACTAGCAATCCCTTTCCCCCCCGAGTAGTAGTAGTTAAAAATCTATTTAATTGAACATTTCGATTTGTTACTATTAGATATATAGATAGACTCCATAAGATTACAATAGTAAACTTATTATAAATGCAAACAATTACAAGAAAATATTACTCTGCGAAAACAATGGCCTTATCGCTAAAAACGATCTCGTCCAGGCAACCTTTGGATAGAGAGGAGTAATTATAAACAATTTGACTGGAGGCACGATACTCTTTTACTATTATCATCATCATCATTCCAGCCATTATCCGTCCACTGCTGGACATAAGCCTCCCCCATAGATTACCATAAAGAACGGTCCTGAGCCACCTGCATCGCTGACTCCCTGCAATGCATTTCAGGTCGCCACTCCATCTAGTGCGGGGCGGGGGGGGGGGGGGTCGTCCTGCACTGCGTTTACCCGTACGTGGTCGCCACTGAAGAATCTTTCTTCCCCATTATTATTACTTATTCCTGGTTAATACTTCACAATAGACTAACTGGCCTGACTTCATTCTCATTTATCATTTCACCACCGTATACTGGATGGAGCTATCACTCCATCGTCATTTTATCAGAGGGAAACTTTGTACAAAAGTCGATTGCTTGGGTACCTCTGTCCCAATCGTGTTTCTACCATGAAGCAGTTGTGTTTGCATGGCTGTGTTTAGATTTGAAGGGTGGGATATGGCGTGAATTTACAGGGTACAGAAGAATAACATCTGAGTCCTCAGGAATGGCAACGCATGGGGGGTGTCATGGGCGAAATAGTATACTCTGTTAAGTCTATGGTACTGTTCATGTCTATAAGCGACGGTTACCACTTTCCATCAGGTGGGCCGTCAGCTTGTTTGCCATTCTAAGTTGTATAAAAAAAAAATCGTCACCGATTAAAAAATGACTTTATCCAATCTGCAATGGACTGTCGCGTTTTTATTAATTAACCACGGAACCCCAAAAGCAGGTTCTCAGACGAAAGTTGTGTATGAAAATTGAAGATAATATATATATTATATTGAACTAAGTATAATTGTAAATAAAAAAAAATTCAGGCTTCGTTGAGTTGAACGACCGGAAAGGTTTTTTAGTAACAAAAGAAAAAAAAACAAATCTATATAAACAAATGTGATTTTTTTATAATAATAATAATAATAATAATCCAAAAATCTCTACACAACTCATTAAATAAACTGCACCTTAATAAGACATTCTTCATTGAACTCCAGAAATCTACAGTATTAGATACATGCTCCATAGTTAGAAAATTTTTAAATAGTCCAATTCCTAACATTCCTACTGAATAAAATAAAATATGAGAACAAGTGACTTGGTAACAATCCCGTCCTTGTCTCTACAAAACCAGCTATAAGCTGAGAAATAATACATATGTATAAAATAATAATAGTTTATTTACTCAAATGTGAATATTACAGATGCTACATATTAGTTATAATTACGGCTCCATATTTTACCATACATTTTTTTAAGCACCTTAGAACGGCAAACAAGCTGACGGCCCACCTGGCGGAAAGTGTAACCGTCGCCTATAGACATGAGCAGTACCATGTACATAACAGAGTATACTGTTTCGCCCATGATACCCCCCATGCGTTGCCATCCTGAGGACTAAGGTGTTACTTCTCTGTACCCTGTAAATTCACTGTCATATCCCAATCTTCAAACCGAAACACAGCCATGAAAACACAACTGATTCACGGTAGAAACACGAATAGGACAGAGGTGCACAAGTAAACGATTTTTGTACAAAGTCTCCTTCTGGTAAATTAATTTAGAGGATCAAGTTTTTTTTTTATACAACTTAGAATGGCAAACAAGCTGACGGCCCACCTGATGGAAAGTGGTAACCGTCGCCTATAGACATGAGCAGTACCATGGATATAACAGAGTATACTGTTTCGCCCATGATACCTCCCATGCTTTTCCATTCCTGAGGACTAAGGTGTTACTTCTCTGTACCCTGTAAATTCATTGCCATATCCCACCCTTCAAACCGAAACACAGCCATGAAAACACAACTGCTTCACGGTAGAAACACGAATGGGACAGAGGTGAACAAGTAAACGATTTTTGTACAAAGTCTCCTTCTGTTAAATTAATTTAGAGGATCAAGTAGTAACTTCTTTAGTTTTAATGCCTTAACATGTGAAAACCGATTTCCACCCTAAATGGAAATTGATAAATATCATCTATAGACAATGCACAGTATCAAAGATATCACAGAATGTAGAGTTTAAGAAAATCTCAATTTAAGGAATTAATTTCTGAAATAAAAATATATATTTGTTTATTATATATATATATATATATATATATATATATATATATATTTGAAACACTTGTAAGTTACATATAAAATAATGTATTTATAAATATTGTGAGCAAGGGTGGACTTATCTCTGACAGAGATCTCTTCCAGTCAACCCAGTACAGTGAGAAAGCATTTCGTTAGCGGGCAGCTGAAGTGCTACGACTATTAATACATAAATAAATATACAGTTAAATAAAATATTAAAATATATAATAAAATATTACATAAATACATACACTATAAATACATATAATACCTACCTACTTATATAATAAATGTTAAAATAAATGAATATACTACTTGCGTTAGAGATTTAGTCTAATGATTTTAAGATTTGACAGTTCAATTAGATTTACTGCCACATTTAGGTGGTACGTACTCCTCATACATTACCTGATGACTATACTGTGCCTCTGTTTCCAACAATTGAATTGCCATATTATCATCATTATATCAGCCGTTAACTGTCCACTGTTGGGGGGAAATCTAGCAGATCCATTGCTAGCAATATGCCCTAGCAATATCAAGTCGACCTCCACACGGTTCCTCCTGGAAGCCATCGTGATTAATTCTTGTTGAATACGTCACTATAGGTCAACCGACCTGACTTCGTCCTTACCTCTCAACCCTCACTGGTGCCCCGGAAGTGTATACCGATAGCACAGACGGAGTTACCATTGTTAGCAATTGGACCATTATTTTTCTTTACTAACAATCCCGTAAATTTCAACGTAGGGGAAAGAAATTGTTAGTATTGTAGATCAAACAGCCGCAGCTATCGATACATCCTATCAGGTCGACCTCCACATGGTTCCCCCTGGAAATCATCTTGGTTTATTCTTTATGAATTCTTCACTATAGGCCAACTAACCTAACTTCATCCTCACCTATCATCCCTCGCTGGTGCCCCGCTAACGTATACCAATACCGCAGGCGGGGCTACCACTCCATTATCACCCATAAGCCCCAACGTATGATAGGTGCTATGCGCAACAAAATTAATTCTGCTCGTATCCACTTTACTCATGTCCATTTCTAACGGTTACCACTTTCCATCATGTGGACCGTCAGTTTTATTAGCACTTCAAATACTTACCCAGGGAGGAAAGGGATTGTTAGTAATGGAGACTGAGAATCCCATTGCTAGCAATATACCCAACCAGGTCGACCTCCTCGCGACTCCTTTCTCCCTGGAAACTATCATGGTGAATTCCTGATGAATTCATCATGATGGGCTAACTGGCCTGTTTTCATTCTCATCTATCACCCTTCACTGGTGCTCCGCCAGCGTATCCCGTTACCGCGAGCGGGGTTACCGTACCATTTTCACCTATCAAAAAAAAAAAACTTACCCATATTTAAAAAACCTGCTAAACCAGGAAAGTGCATTAATAAATCTTTTCACAGTTGTCCTTCCTTGTTCTTAGATATTCTCGTTAAGCACTTTACTACGAAGTATTTAGATGACTTGAAAAATCCAAAGTATTAATTTGTAAAATAGCAAATTACAATTAATGTTAGCCATTTTATTAGACATACGTACATTACATATATGTTTTTACTAGTGTCCGACCGAACTTTCGGTTTCGGTTTCGGCTAGTTTCGGCCAGAAATTCTGCTTTCGGCCTTAGTTTCGGTTTCGGCCAAAAATTAGCCGAAATTACCATTTATCAGAGGGAGACTTTATACAAAAGTCGATTGCTTGGGTACCTCTGTCCCATTCATATTTCAACCGTGAAGCAGTTGTGTTTGCATGGCTATGTTTCGGTTTGAAGGGTGGGATATGGCGTGAATTTACAGGGTACAGAGGAATAACACCTGAGTCCTCAGGAATGGCAACGCATGCGGGGTATCACGGGCGAAACAGTATACTCTGTTATATCTATGGTACTGCTCATGTCTATAGGCGACGGTTACCACTTTCCATCAGGTGGGCCGTCAGCTTGTTTGCAATTCTAAATTGTATAAAAAAAAAACTTTCGGCCGCGCCGAAACTTTGTGTGTGTGTTTGTATTGTGTGTGTGTGTGTGTCTAATTGAAAGTTGTTTTTCTTTTCAAATTTACTTCCAAGAGTAAGTCCTAATTTTAACATGTTTTTACATATAAATATATATGACATATTTGTTACATACTTTAATTAGCGTTTATTATTATCCTTTAACTATCTGTGTGTTTATGTAAATAATTGTGTAAAAAATACACTAGATTTCAGTATAGAAGAGAAATTTTAAATATGTTTCAGTAAGTTTCGGTTTCGGTTTCGGCCAAAGCTGATACTAAGGCCAAAACAAACACATATAGGTTTAAAACAATCCGGCAACACGCCTTTATAATTTAATAGGCTTTGTTCAATAAGTGTTTTTTAATAACAGTTTTAAACTTATTAAAAGGCAGATCCAAAATATCCTTCGGTATCTTATTATAACATATGAATGCTCGTTCCCATAAACGACCTATTAACTTTTTCTAAACGATACTTCGGTACAGCAAGCTTGTATTTGTGTCTAGTATTAAGATTATTCAGGTCGCTGTTTTTAGGAAACTGTTGAAGATTCCTGCGTATATACAGAATGTTTGCGTATTTATTTATTTAATTTATTTATTTACACTTTATTGCACCAAGTAAAAAGAAAAATAACAAATACAGTAAATATTAATGAGAAGTGATACAAAAGGCGACGTTATCGCTAAGCAATCTCTTCTAGACAACCTTTGGGACATTGAGAAAAAGACAAAGAGTAGGTGGCGCACTATTATATAAATATTATAATATTCAAACATATATACATACATACATATATACATACATACATATATACACATACATATATAATATATATACAATTAAATATATACATAACATACACATACATAACAGCACACATACAACAGAAACAGCGTATATGTATTGTGAAGCTACGGTGAGGATATTTGCTTCTTTAAATTCCTCTCTCAGTAAGTCAGTTAGAAGAGCGTTAAGCGTCGTTTTCATTAAAATTTAAGTCACTTTTGTGAAAAAATTCGAAAAAAGCGGGTCAAGTTTTTCATACAATTTTGCATGATTAATAGCTATGAGTGTTTTCTTTATAATTTTTATATTTATTTTATAATTTTTGCATTTTTGTAATGTATAAAAGCTCATTTTATTTATTAAATAATTAAACATAGATACGTCAAGATACATTGTGTGCGTAAGTATATAAAATACTGATAAAAAAACGAGTCAGCTAATTTGACAATTGGCTGACAAAAAGTTGACACGTTTTTGAGACTCGATGCTCTATCTACATAATGTAAGGGTGTAATATTTATCTAAATTAATGTTATGAAGCCAGCGGATGAAGGTGGCTCATGACTGTTCCTTATAGCAGTCTATAGAGGGGACCTAATTGTTAAATTAGATGACGAAAATTTGACCCGTTCTTGAGACTCGACGCTCTATCTATATCTAATATAAATTATAAAATGTAATGAACGAACGGCGAGCTTAGACTGATGTGTTGTAATTTGCAATTCAAAGAACACAAAATTATTGCTGCAACCAGCCAGCGTTAGGTAATAAGCAGTCGTGTTGTGAGGCCGATCATGTGATTCCACTTGGCATTTGAAAGTAACCCGCTACCGTGTTGTATGAGCTCGATTTTATTCTATTAGCTATATATATTTTTATTTAACCAATTTACAGTCACAAACAAGCTGACGGCCAACCTGATGGAAATTGGTACACATGAAGAGTATCGTGGACATAAAAAAAAACTACTTTATTTGAATATTTTATATGAAATTATGTGAATAACTTTTTACGCATAATAAACATTGAATTCATATTTTGGAAATGGATGGGTATGTATATATACTAAGTGATGGTTTTTTAATGGATGATAATGGAATGGTAACACCGCCTGCGCTAACGGTATAGATTAACAAATTTCTGGGCTCACATTCGGAATTCAAAGAATGAATCCTCAACACCTTGTCCCAGTGTCTGAACGGTCCCATTCAAAAGTATTGCTTGTCCGTACACCAAGACAGGAACAAAAAATAATGTTCTCTTGTTTTTTATCTAATAACTGTGTTTGCTATATTATTTACTTTACTTTTTATAAATTTTCTACATATTTTAATTTTTATGTTTTTTTTTTGTTTTGATTGGTATATTTTTATATGTTACCCGAGCACGTTGTAATACAATTGTACCTCTATGGCAGTGATAATCAACTTTTTTTTTTTTGTAGCGGCATATATTTTACGATTTAAAAATTTGGCGGCACACAAAGAAGAAGATAAAAATTATTTACTCACTACAACACACTGCATAAATAGTTTATGACAAAAATTTGAAATATTTGCAAAATTTGGCGGCACACTTTTAAAATTTGGCGGCACACAAAAGGGCACAGTGGTTGAGAATCACTGCTCTATGGGTTTTTTTTTTTTAATGGGTGATAATGGAATGGTAACCCCACCCGCGCTATCGGTATACACCGGCGGGGCACCAGTGAAGGATGATAGGTGAGGATGAAGCAGATCAGTTAGCCCATCGTGACAAATTCAACAAGAATTGTTCACGATGGTTTCCAGGGGGAACCACGTGGAGGTCGACCTAATCGGGCATATTGCTAGCAATGGGGCTGTCAAACTTCATTGCTAACAATCCCTTTCCCCCCCTGCTCTATGGGTTAAGTACCTGATAATAAAGAATATATTATTATTACTGTATTATATTATTATTATAGGCACCAGTGAAGGATGAGAGGTGGGAATAAAAAGGTAAGTTAGTTATCTTATCCATGTTAGCCCATCGTGTGAATACACTTGGGATTCGACACGATGATTTCCAGAGGGGACCACGTGGAGGTCAACTTGACAGAGTTTATTATTAGCAAGATACATAGACAGGGTACATCGCTGCATTACTAACAATCCTCTCCCCTAAACGATGGTATAGACATAAATAATAAAAATCTGTTTTTTATGGGATTTTTTATATCACAAAGGTGGCAAGCAAGCGTACAGCTCGTTGGATGGTCACAGTCAAGATATATCCTAACGATCACAGTAGCCTATGGACGTCTGCCACAATAGAGGTGTGTGGTGAGATGGTGAGGTCATGTCTGCGTTGCCGACCCTGAAGGAACCTTAATATACCCTTTTAGGGGGGAAAGGGATTGTTAGTAATGGAGACTTAGAATCCCATTGCTAGCAATATACCCAATCAGGTCGACCTCCTCGCGATTCTCCCTGGTAACTATCATGGTTAATTCCTGATGAATTCATCATGATGGACTTCATACCATACCATTTTCATCCAATAAAAAAAAAATATATATATATCCTTTTTGAAGAACCTAATATTGTAATCTCTAGGAAAAACTTCGACAGACAGCTCATTTCAAAGCCTGAGTGTTTGCGGGAGAAAATTCTTTTAACATCGCACTGTACGCGACCATTGGGTGTAAAAAATAAAAGTGTAGACTTAAAATACTATACACATGATAATGGAAGGTATTTACCATATATGCAAACGAGGTTACGATAACAGCTAGTACCAAATAAAAGATAAATTAACACTACTCAACTCTATACAACGCCATCTATATGAAAATATGTATAAATTTTGTGGAATGAATATTTAAAAAAAAAAAATACATGTATATATAAATATACAAGAGCGAAGAAGAGGCCCCTGAAGCAAGAAGACACCACGCCGGCATACAGAGACCACCAGTGTATGCCGGCTGAAGAACCCAGCGACCCGGAGGTCGTCGCCTCCGGAGTTGAAGCCGGGGTAGAGGGGTATACCCCGAGGCCCCTACCTCGCCCGCCTGCACAACATAAGGCGGACTAAGAGATGTCTATTGATGATGATGATGATGAATATTTTATCAGGTAAGTACAAGGTCGTCATTATATCAGCCTTTACCTGTCCACTGCTGAACAAAAGCCCCCCCCCTAGGGGGTTATACCAGTAGTGGCCACGGACTGGCAACTACAGTTAGGCTTTGGAGACATTTTAAGAGGGACGCTACTGCCCATCCTTCCCCCTCCTTTAGTCGCCTCTTACGACAATTACGAGAAAGGAAGTGGCGGCCTATTCTGTCCCGGGACCACACGGGAACTATGAGGTATTTATGGCATATTTATTTTCCAAGGAGGGTCTGGCTTCTTAAAAAAGACGCATATTTATTCTCCGATATATTTTTTTTATACAACTTAGAATAGCAAACAAGCTGACGGCCCACCGTAACCGTCGCCTATAGACATGAGCAGTACCATGTACATACCAGAATATACTGTTTCGCCCATGATACCCGCCACGCGTTGCCATTCCTGAGGACTCAGGTGTTATTCCTCTGTACCCTGTAAATTCACGCCGATATGTCTTTGTCTATAGCTCAAAACTCCACTCCTTATTCTGGGGTGGGCACTAGACAGTTCTGAGGTGGGCACGACCCACCTAACTCTTCCCCTCATCCTCTAAATACACCTACGGGTATAAGTATAATAATATACAATTTATTTCAGTATACATATTATATTTTAATTGAACATAATTAATTAAAAAAAATACTTAAGTATATACTCGTAAATGTGACTGAAGAAACATGGTGGTTGAAATATAAATAGTAAATGAGATTTCTCATAAATTACACATAAATATAATAAATATATACATATTTCTTAACCAATATTTATAAATGAAAGAAAATATAATACAAATAATAAAAATATATATGAAAACAAATAAATATTCCTGTTAACAAAATTATAGACAATTTAAAAATAAAAAAAAAACATTAAATAATATTAGGTTTAAATAAAAATGCAAAAAAAAATATTATTGAATTATTTTACGATTTGTAAAGGCAAAAATTAAGCTGACGTCCCACCTGATGGAAAGTGGTGAACGTCACAGATCCTACGCTTCGTACATCGTCATACTTGAAGGTAGCTGCAAGCATTTTTGTGCATTATATAAACATAACTAAATTTACTTATTATTGTTTAAATAAATAACATAAATACTTTCTAAGTATTCTTGCTAAAAATATAAATGTGAAAGTAAGTTTGTTTGTCTGTCACGTCATAGCTTCTTAACGTCTTAACCAATCACTATGAAATATGGTGTACACGTACCTACTATATGAGGTGGAGAAGTATATAGGTTACTTTTTATCCCGGCCAGTAAACATATCCCGGAAGGAGGGAAAGGGATTGTTAGTAATGGAGACTGAGAATCTCATTGCTAGCAATATACCCAACCAGGTCGACCTCTACGCGGTTCCCCCTGGAAACCATCGTGTTGTTAAATTGTTGTAAAAAATAAAAATACAATGTGGATGAGGAAAATCTGCATGGATCTGCATGGAACAGGCACGGTAGTGTTTCTTGCCAAGACCAGCAAATAAAGCAAAGTTACCATTTTGCTTCTCTGTGATTTATTATTATATTTAATTTTTTTCCTAATCAAATAGGTATGATCGTGTATTCCAGTTTTCGTATCGTGTATATAGGTAAAGATATTTGCGTTTAGAGTTTTAAAAAAAAATACAGGCAATCCTAAGTATTTTTTAGCTAAAAGTAGGTAATTAGATAGATAGATAGATAATTTATTTACATTACTTACAGCACACAAATTACATTAAAAAAACATACACATAATACACAATAAAAGTGATAAAAGAATGAAAATAAAAAACAAGAAAACAAAAAAAAAAAACAAAATATATAAACTAACAATCTCCTTTCTTTCCCTTCCTTCATGCGTGTGCCATAGTAACACAAAATGGCCGCAACACAGTTTATTGCTTTGCCCTCAAAAGAGCAAAACACTGATATTCTGTTGTGGCCTACTTAAGTACTTAATGTTATTTTAGTGTAATTAAACGTATCACCTAATAAATCTGTTGCCTAAAATAAGTTTAAATTACAATAAAAACAAAATAAAAAAAAAAAAAAACAAATGACTAGTTTCATAGACTACGTACTTTGTTAGACATAATAATGTAAGAACATAACAACATTTTACATTGCGTACACGCAAACTTTAAAAATAATCATGGGGTACAATATAAATAATAATTCAATTACTTTATTACATTAATTAATTACTTACATTTTAAATGGGCAATGTAAAATTGAAAATCTTTACATACAATTCAAAGTAATCAAATTTTTTCCAAAAATTTGACAGAATTTGTTAAACTTAGGTACTTATAGGTTTTTATAAAATTGTAGAAGTTTCAAGTAAGTTTTTCTCGTTTCTCAATATTCATCGCTATAACTAATTTGATCTAAATATCTTCTTATAAAAACGGTATTACTATGTAAGTAATTAAATAACATTATTTTTTAACTCAATGAATGAACAGTTGTTCGCTTTTAAATTTTATAAAAATATCTATATCTATAGAGTGAGAATACATTCATAGTACCTTAAACACGAATACAATGTACTTCCTAGGCACCTTAAACAAATAAAATAAATTGTTATATTTTCTTAATTTTTTTTTACGAATTAATATTAAGTTTTAACTAGATTTCTTTCCAATATTTAAAGACTAAAAATCTGTATACGTAGTTGCCATTCTACCAGCGCCATCTAGCGACACGGGTCTGTAATAATCTGTCATTTCTCCCCAACCGCGCGGCGCCATATTGAAATTGGGACCAGAGACAAGGGGCAGTCGCGGGCTTTTTGGCGCGGCGTAGACATCGTTTAATTTTGTAGGCGCTAATGGCACTGGCACTTCAATATTTTGTACGGTAATCGTTGGTGGGGATACCGGGAAGGGTTCCATCTTAGGTAGGCTATTGTTGGTGTACTTCAGCGCTGATTTCGGATAGGTTTTCTGACTTCGGAGGCTTGATGGTGGGCGGTAGGCGGTGTCGTGGTTGGCTACTGGCGTGGGTGTTGAGCAGGAGTTAGATGTATTGCGACCTGAAATTTTTGAAACATATTACGTTTAAAAACCGTTGTTTATAATGTACGTTCCAAAAACTTAAGACCCTGAGTTTTTTCTCAATAGTACAGTAATTCTAATTGTCAACTAAGTTAAATAAAAATACCTAGGTACTGTAAAGTTAAATACAATATATTTATATGGGGACCCAAACAGATCAAATAACTTAAGTTTGTTTTTCAAAATTGTCACAATATTGTACACCGCTCCACTCGCTGACATTGATGCTCCTTCCTACTTTGGGTGTTCCTTGAAGAGAACTCTTTTAGAGTTAAGCTCGCCTTTGTACATTTGATTACCTCTGTCACATTTTTATATATAACTAGCGGCCCGTCCCGGCGTCGCACGGGTGGACATTTTTACATTTTAAAAAGTGGCCATTAAGGCTGCACACGCGACGGAAGCTTAAAAATGGAGTAACTTCTCCAGTTTTTCCAACATTTCCCTTCACCGCTCTGCTCCTATTGATCGTAGCGTAATGAAAAGTATACTATAACCTGCCCAGGAGTATGAAGAATATATGTACCAAGTTTCGTTAAAATCCGTCGAGTAGTTTTTGTTTCTATAACGAAAATACAGAGAGACAGACAAAAATTTTACTGATTGCATTTTTGGCATCAGTATCGATCACTAATCACCCGCTGATAGTTATTTTGCAAATATATTTCATGTACAGAATTGACCTCTCTACAGATTTATTATAAGTATAGTGTGTACAATAAAGTATTAAATAAAAAAAAAATAAGTTGTTAATATTTATAATCTGTATTATTCTTTGAAGAGAACAATAAAGAGTTTTCGTTCATCATTCATTTCGGGCATACCCGAAATTAATACATTGAGTATACCATACCATACTATATCAGCCGTTAATTTAAGTTCTTTTTTATACAGAGTATACTGTTTCGCCCATGATACCCCCCATGCGTTGCCATTCCTGAGTACTCAGGTGTTATTCCTCCGTACTCAGTAAATGCACGCCCTTCAAACCGAAACACAGCCATGCAAACGCAACTGCTTCACGGTTGAAACACAAATAGGACAGAGGTGGCCAAGCAATCGACTTTTGTACAAAGTCTCCCTCTGGTAAGTTACTTTTAAGTTAATTATCCACTGCTAAATATAAGTCTCCCTGTTTTAGGGGATTTTACCAGTAGTTAGGCCTTGGCGACGTTATAAGAGGGACGCTGTTGCCCATCCCTCGATCATTAAGCTCCCTTAGTCGCCTCTTACGACACACACGGGAAAGGAAGTCTATTGTATACCGGGATCATGCGATCCCGATATATTTTTAATGGGTGTTAATGGAATGGTAACCCCGCCTACGCTATCAGGATACGCTGGCGGGGAAGGATGATAGGTGAGGATGAAGCAGGTCAGTAGGCCCATCGTGACGAATTCAACAAGAATTGTACACGATGGTTTCCAGGGGGAACCACGTGGAGGTTGACCTAATAGGGCATACTGCTAGCAATGGGGCTGTCAAACTCCATTGCTAACAATCCCTTTCCCCCCCGGCAATATATTATACTTGAGTATAGTCGGTATAAATTATTATTAGTTTTTATTAAAAAAAAACCTCGTTGACTTTCAATGAACTTCTCGCGGGAGGTCGACGAGGCCTGTTCATAATAAATAATTCTATATTTGCCCCCGTCTCGTAAACTGCAACTGGCTCGCGACCAAACTGTCAATTCGCTCGCGTAATGTGAATAATTACTGTGCGCACTCTACGCTATACTACCCAATATAACTACCTACCCAGTTTACCTACCAACCTACACACTCTACACACACTACAGTATACCTACCAACTTTAACTACCCAGTATAAGTAGGAGAATAACTCTCAAATATCCTTTTTTTTTTTGTTTTTTTTCACCCTTTTTTACGGCCACCCCCCACTAGTTAATCGTCAGATTAATTTCTACCAGGTTATCAGAAAGAAAAGACGCGTACACTCTGAATGTCTGACGCGCTCGAGTATTTCCATGTGATTGCTTTTTTTTACATTTTTGAAAATTTCACATGCTCTAACTAAAATGGAAAACTTCTTATATATTGTTTTTGTTTTAAAATCTAATCTGCACAATTCAATAGGTCCCCATGACGCTTCAGTAACTGCAAATTTAGCATTACCGCCTCCCCTACTATAAAACATATCTGAATAACAAAATTGTAACCGGGTAGGATTTTTTTTTAATGGATGATAATGGAATGGTCGTGGACTTGCCAATCGTCCTTACGTATTTTAGCGATAAACTACACAGTTGTGTACTGTACGCGTCTATTTAGGTTCTTTAAAAAGGTTTCTTCTCGCGAACGCTCAAATTGTGAAATGGGACCTCATACCGAGCCGAGAATTAAAAAAAAGATGTATTAAGGTTTGTTTTACAAGGTACACGTAATATTTTTAATATTGCAAGCGTCCATAGGCTACAGGAACCGTTATCAGACGAACTGCATGCTGTTTATCATTTTCGTGATAAATAAAAAATCACTCCATTTATCATTGCTCGGACCATGTAACTCGAGATTCTGAGATTTTCAAAAACGTTCTAACCAAATTCAGTGTTTAAAGTACCTATGTAAATTGTAATATTTATCAAGTTACTGTATCAATTAATTTGAGAATATTCGAGCCATAACTCGAGCCAATTTGAGTAATATTTCTATATGCTAAAGACCTCTGTCCTTACTTTTACTTCTTGTACTTTCTAAATTCGTCTCATGCATGCATACCAGTTCTGGAGACTCTTGACTCATCTTTCAAATAGAACACGGTCTATTTAATCATAATAGGTTAGCCGAGGTCTCTCCTTATATTTACATGATTAAATAATTAATTTATAATAATTGTTTACCTCGTCCCTCGTGCACCCACTTCACCGATCGCTTCTTCCTGTTCACGTACATGCTCTGTCCCCTGCTCATGTGGTTGCTGGAGTCGCTCAGTGACCTGGAGATGGCTCGAGCCAGGTCCATCTGCTCCTTGACTGTAGGATGCACACCAGGCACGTAGAACGCGGATGACGCGAATGTTTTTTCTGGAAAAGTGACAATGAAATATTTAACAATAAGAAACATTTTTTAAATGTCATGTCATACATAGATTAATTGCCGTATGGTTCCAGCATAGAATAGGCCACCCCTTCCTTTCCCGTGGTTGTATTCGTGAATTCTGACACTTCCCTAAGATTGACTGAGAGAGAATCCTTTTTGGATTAAGTCCGCCTTATACATATCATCATCATACCAGCCTTTAACTGTCCACTGCTGAACATAAGCCTCCCCCTTGGGGGGGTTTGCCAATAGTTGCCACGCTTGGCAGGCGGGCTGACAACAGCAGTTAGGTTTTAGAGATGTTTTAAGAGGGACGCTGCTGTCCATCCCTCGCTCTCCTTTAATCGGCTCTTACGACACCCATTGGATAAGAAGGGGTGGCTTATTCTATGCCGGGACCACACGGCTCTTATACGTATATCCTGTACTAAAGAATAAATAAATAAATATACCCTATACCTCTGGCTGATTCTACTTGGAAACCATTACGGTTAATAGCCAATGATCTTGACGATGACTTCATCCTTATCTTTCAGACTTCACTGGTGATGATTAAAATAAACTCTTACCGAATTTGCGGTCCTTCTTAATGAGATGCTCCTCAGCATCAGGCGCCGGTGTGAATATTTTGTTTAAGTCGATCTCCTTCTCGCCAGGCAGCAGTGGCTTGTTCTCGAAGTCTTCCTGGAACATGTCCCATCGGGATCAGTCAATTATGAGCCTAAATAATTTAGGCACTGGGATTTTTTACTGCTACTAGTAGGACGGTGTCGTCCTTTGGTGTCAAGAGTTTCTGGGCCGCCGTCAGTGGCTTTCGTGTATAAGCCACTGACATGACTTACCGGATGACGACTTTATTCTGTGTCTTACGAAGTACGATGCAATCGATGCTAGTTTTAAAATTATACAAATTTAAATTTCAAAATTTTGAGTTTAAACTGAAATTAATTCCCTGACTGCAGTTAAGCATTGTTTGACTGTACTGTAACTGCTTATTTGTGTATATTCTAAGAGATAATTATTATCCTTATTAATATTAGAAATGTAAGAGTGTGTTTGTTTGTTTGTTTGTTACATTATAGCGCCTTAACGTCTTAACCAATCACTATGAAATTTGGTATACACGTACCTACTATATGAGGTGGAGAAAGATATAGGCTACTTTTTATACCAGTTAGTAAACTCTAAAAGTAGGGGGAAAGGGATTGTTAACAATGAAGTTTGACTGCCCTATTGCTAGCAATATGCCCTATTAGGTCGACCTCCACGCGGTTCCCCCTGGAAACCATCGTGGTTAATTCTAGTGGATTTCGTCACGATCAGTCGCAACGGCAGTTAGCCCGACCTGCTGTTATCCTCACCTATCACCCCTCACTGGTGCCCCGCCAGCGTATACCGAATCAGGTATATAAATAAAACTCGAGCTTCGACTCGAATTCCTTATTTAAGACTCTTGAGCCTTCAAGACTCGAGCCTTTAAGACTTGCGAGCCCTCAGAGCTCGAGCTTTCAAGACTCAGTAGCTTCGACTCGGAGCTCGAGTTTCCGCCTTGGGGCTCATTTCTCACAACACTAATACCGATAGCGCAGGCGGTGTTACCATTCCCTTATCACCCATTGCAAAAAAAGAAAGTCGTGGATCGTAATACACAATAGTTTGTGGACCAGTAGTTATGTTTACAAACCCATAGATCACTAAGGGATAGATATGACAAGTTCGTGATTGGAAATCTTTTTTTTCATCTATTTCATTAAAATAATTATGTACAATTTACAAGTGATGCTAGTTTTATATAAAACTTACTACCAACTGTTACTATTCTAAAAATAAATAGCAAGAGATATGAAGTATTCGTTAGACAGATAGGAAGCTAAATATTAGGTACTATTTGAAGGGTGGGATATGGCAGTGAATTTACAGGGTACAGAGGCATAACACCTGAGTCCACAGGAATGGCAACGCATGAAGGGTATCATACAAAAGTCAAGCGAACGACTCTGTCTCTTTCGTGTTTGTACCGTGAAGCAGTTGTGTTTGCATGGCTGTGTTTCGGTTTGAAGGGTGGGATATGGCAATGAATTTACAGGGTACAGAGGCATAACACTTTATTTCTCAAGAATGGCAATGCATGGGGGGGTAAAGCGAAACAGTATACTCTGTTATGTACATGGTACTGCTCATGTCTATAGGCGACGGTTACCACTTTCCATCAGGTGGGCTGTCAGCTTATTTGCTAAACTAAGTTGAACAAAAAAATGTGTATTTTAATGGGAATAATATACTAATCGGAAAGGAATAGCGATCATACAATTTTTAATGATTAAAAAAACCTAAAGTTATAATTATAATAAACAATATGCACTTAATATATGGTTCGGTTAATACTATCCAATAATTTTAATCAATCACTCTTTTGTATCAAGAAAAACTGACTTAATTACTACATATATGTATATATATATATATATATATATATATATATATATATATATATATATATATATATATATATATATATATATATATATATATATATATATATATATATATATATATATAATAAATTAAAAATATGTTAAAATGATTTTTATAACCATGCAAAAAGAAAAACTAGCCAAGCACACATATACGAGTACAAATAACGACAAATATGTTTTCCTAATGAAAAATAATTTGTAATATTTACAAGTAAATATATGATACTAATGTGTCCGTGTTCTGTGGAAATTATTGGACATTCTTACAGGTGGGAAGTCGTGTGGCTGCACTGCCGAGACGTCGCGGGACATATCGCCGTCATTCTGCATAATATAGTACACGTTAGTACATATTTGTGAGTTGAGCTATTGTCAACCTTTCTCATTACGTATTCTCTGCCAAGTTAGTGTATTAGTAAAATAAAAAAAAAAAAACATTTTGGAACAACCGTCATTTTGATATATATTTTTATTTTATTTTAATGCAATAACTTTTTGAAAAAGTCCTAATAATTCTACCTAAAAAATAGAAGTCCTTAACGAGGTATTGATAAATAGTTACTGGCGTATTTACTAGGGGTGGGGGGGGGGGAGCTACCCCTTTAAAAGAGCATATGCACTCTTAGATTATGTTTTTTGCTAAGCTTCTCTGGCATCTTGGGTTGGATACTTCCTGTTTGTTGTTTTCGTATGAAAATCACAATTGTGGATTACGCAATTATTAAAAAAATAAAAGAAATGTCGAACCTTTATTTCAGTGATTCTCAACCACTGTGCCGCGGCACTTTTGTGTGCCGCCAAATTTTGAAAGTGTGCCGCCAAATTTTGCAAATGTTTCAAATTTTTGTCATAAACTATTTATGCAGTGTGTTGTAGTAAGTAAATAATTTTTATCTTTTACTTTGTGTGGCGCCAAATTTTGAAATCGTTAAATATGTGCCGCAACAAAAAAAAGGTTGAGAATCACTGGTCTATTTCATAATACTAGTCTAACCTATAAGATTATTTGTGTCAATAAATGAATCGTACAATTAATTTTTTTCTACTGTTGATAGTTCGATGATTCTTATATACTTTTTATTTTTTTGAGATACTGTACAATGATGGGTCCCAAAATAAATAAAACTTTTGGATAATTTTATTTTAGGTAAACCTAGTAGCATGAGTAATGATTTTATTTTGTAAATTTTGAATTATTTATTTATTTATATTTTATTGTACACACCGATAAAACATAAAAATATGACAGAAGTAAATGTACAGAAGCGAGCTTAACTCTAAACGAGTTCTCTTCCAGCATCACCCGAAGTGGAAATAGATGAGAAAGGTTTATTTACATTTAATGAATGAATGAATGAATGAGTATACTTTATTTGCATTATACAATATAGGAAATAAGCAAGACAATTTACAAACATAACGATACAATTGTATAAGTACAGTGAGGCGGTCTTATTGCTGACAGCAATCTTTTTAAATTAATATTTATATTTAGTATTGAAACAATCTCTTAAATTACACATAAAATAACTAATTAGGTTTGATTATAATGGAATAAAATTTAAATAGTTAAAGATAAAAAATTTCCTTAAGATCACTGCCAGCTGGTAGGGTACCTAGGAGACTTGCTGCATTTCCACGCTGAATAGCTATGGAAATGCGTTGACCAAAGTATAGGCCAGCCTTCTGGTCGCCAGAGGTTTCTACCAGCCGGCTTGAAATTTAGTATTTATTTAATCATATAAGTAAATAAATATTACCACATCTGGGATTATAATACGTGAATATATTATAGAGATGCGGTTGACTCACGATCGTTCCTTATGGCAGTCTATGGGGGAAGCCTATAATCAGCAATAGACAGATTGAACAGCTGAACTGACTATGGTGATATTATAGTTTTTTTTTTATACAACTTACGCTGACGGAAAGTGGTAACCGTCGCCTATAGACATGAGCAGTACCATGGACATAACAGAGTATACTGTTTCGTCCATGATACATCCCATTCCTGAGGACTCAGGTGCTATTCCTCTGTACCCAGTAAATTCATGCCATATCCCACCGTTCAAACCGAAACACAGCCATGCAAACCCAACTGCTTCACGGTTGAAACACGAATGGGACAGAGGTACCCAAGCAATCGACTTTTGTACAAAGTCTCCCTCTGGTAAATCATTTCAAAAATCATTACATTTAAATAATGACAATACAATGTCATAAGCTTACAAATTCATAACATATGGACTACCTAATTACACACTCCTACATTTGCTGGCGTACAAAACATTTTTGTACCTTATTCCCTTGCATTAAAGTACACAATTTATAAGTACGAATCATTAGACGTTTTGTCTCCAATTCCACAGTGAGTGCTTTTGGCGGTGATCCAGCGAAGTCCGGAGTTCGATGCCAAGTCGCGGCACAGAAATTAACTACCGACAACATGATTTTTTACAACGCAATCCAGGCCAAGTCAATACGTCTATGAGGCTTAGATATTGAATTTTATTTATGACACGAGGAAATCTTTTATTTGACCAAAGACAATTGTAATAAATGGCTCATATTCTTTTTGTTTTATACAACTTAGAATGGCAAACAAGCTGACGGCCCACCTGATGGAAAGTGGTAACCGTCGCCTATAGACATAAGCAGTACCGTGGACATAACAGAGTATACTGTTTCGCCCATGATAATGATTTTTGCCTACCCTAATGGGAGACAGGCGTGACAGATATGTATGTATGTATGTATGTATTTACATTATTAGATATTCAGTAATATATTGTAAAACTCCGGAGAGAGCCTGGAGATCTGTAGGACAGGTTTCGACCTAGTTCAGACACCAGACTCTCACAAGGATAATAATTTTAAGTTAAAATACTAAATAGTCACACAATGTAAAAAAAAAAATTACTCGACTACGGCGAAGCAAAAAGGGAGGTAATGATTATATGATTCCATTGTTATTCTACGAAGTATTTTTATATATGCTATGTTTGCAGGGTAGTTTGCAAAGTGGTTTATGTTTGTCACGCTGAGGGAATACGAGATGAGACAAGGGTCCGAATCCCGTCGGATCGAGCCGTCGTGAAATAAAATATTTAACTACTACTTCAGAAAATAACTGGAAGAAATCTCTTTTAGAGATAAGTTCGCCTTTGCTAACATTGTTATTAACTTATTGTTGTTACTGTATGTTTTAGTGCAATAAAGAATATATATATATATATATATAACTGGCGATTCAGCCCGGCTTCGCACGGTAAGATAGAATTTTTGAAATTTATTAAACAGGTTATGTTACTCGTTGATATAGCTTTCTAATAGTGAAACAATTTTTAAATAGTTTTTGAATTTACCTATTCCAAGCAAACAATATAATCTTTACTCTTTATATTCATCATCATCATCATCACTACCATCATCATCATCATCATATCAGCCAGTAACTGCCCACTGTTGAACATTAGCCTTCCCTATAAGGGGGGTTTGCCACTAGTAGCCACGTATTAGGCATTCACTACAATTGTCTTTGGTCAAATAAAAGATTTCCTCGTATTATAAGTAAAATGCAATTGTTTATGATATTTATATTAAATTTATTATATATTTTTTTGCTTTGATAGGTGAAAATGGTATGGTAACCCCGTCTCCGCTAACGGGATACGCTGGCGGAGCACCAGTGAAGGGTGATAGATAAGAATGAAAACAGGCCAGTTAGCCCACCATGATGAATTCATCAGGAATTAACCATGATAGTTTCCAGGGGGAACTGCGAGGAGGTCGACCTGGTTGGGTATATTGCTAGCAATGGGATTCTCAGTCTCCGTTACTAACAATCCCTTTCCCCCCAGTTTATTATATTAAGACTATTAAGTTTAAGACTGCCTTTTATGACACGTACGAGAAAAGAATGGAGGAATTTAGCCAAATTATTTGTTCACGGCTAAAGTAATTGACTTTTTTATTTCCGAAATGTATATATTATTAGTTGCATCTCGCAAATGTTGATTTGCTCCCTACTCCCATATACTGGATACATTTTTTTACTGGGAAACTAAAAAAAACTTTAAGAAAAACGAACAAAAATGTTCTACTTTCCCATGTACAAAAGTCGATTGCTTGAGTACCTCTGTCCCATTCGTGTTTCTACTGTGAAGCAGTTGTGTTTGCATGGCTGTGTTTCGGTTTGCAGAGTGGGATATGGCGTGAATTTACAGGGTACAGAGGAATAACACCTGAGTCCTCAGGAATGGCAACGCATGGGGGGTATCATGGGCGAAACAGTATACTCTGTTATGTCCATGGTACTGCTCATGTCTATAGGCGACGGTTACCACTTTCCATCAGGTGGGCCGTCAGCTTGTTTGCCAAGAGTTGTGTAGTATCATATCTCTGCAGTTGGTGTAAATAGTAAATTTTATAAAAAACTCATTAAAATCGTTGAGCGGTTTCGGAGAAATATATATAATCATATATAATCTATTTACCTATTTATTAACCTTAATTGTGGTGAGAAAATAAATAAATTATTATTATTTAAAAATCACAAGGGATTTTTTATATAAAGATTTGATTACTCCTAGATCTAACAGAAAGTTATTAAAGGTCAGCGACCTGAACTAGATACCAGTTAAGGCCACGACCACTTGAGAGAGCGTAGGTTCTATGCCCGGCATTGTTGAACATATGAATGTTTTTCTAGAACGTTCAATTTGCACTAGACTAGTAAGTGTTAATTTTTTTTTTGATGTATGAAAAGGTAACCCCGCCTGCGCTAACGGAATACGCTGGCGGAGCACCAGTGAAGGGTGATAGATGAGAATGAAAACAGGCCAGTTAGCCCATCATGATGAATTCATCAGGAATTAACCATGATAGTTTCCAGGGGGAATCGCGAGGAGGTCGACCTGGTTGGATATATTGCTAGCAATGGGATTTTCAGTCTCCATTACTAACAATCCCTTTCCCCTAAGTGTTAAATTAATACTAATACATATACTCGAGAGCAAAGAATGCGTGTCACTTAAAGAAACCCGTAAATCTTGGAAACTAAGAATGCTGGCTTAATCAAATAAATGGTGTTTAATAGATATTTGGGCATGTGTGCGTTGGTTTGCCCCTGCCCATTTTTTTTTTAATGGATGATAATAGAATAGTGACCCCGTTCGCGCTATCGGTATACTCGTACACTAGCGGGACACCAGTGAGAGATGATAGGTGAAGAAGCAGATCAGTTAGCCCATCGTGACGAATTCACTAATGAATCAATCACGATGGTTTCCAAGGGGAACAGCGAGGAGGTCGACCTAATAGAG